CGAGAAAATTGAAAAGGTCGTGGAATTGATTGAAAAGAGTTTATTAAATTCAAAGGGGAATGAACAAAAAATTGAAAAGAAACTGACTTCAGCTTTCCTGTCTTTTTTTTTCTATTCAATAGAAAATCAGCCAAATTTCATATTTTTTTATTGATACATTTTCTATAAAAATTGTTGACATGAATTCTCCAAGTTTTCTTCACTGTTTTTTTCTCTCATTAAAAAAATCAAACAAACTTGGAAGATTTGAGCCGACGAATTTCTATAGAAAACACCTGAGTAGAACAGCTGTACAAAAAACAATCGAATTCTATTAATTTCCTCAACAGAATATTTTTCATTGAACATCTTTATTGATAAAAAACTCGCAGATGCCGAATTTTTCAACAGAATCTTCCAAAAACTAATAGAAAGTCCAATAGAAATTCAATTACTAGTGAAATCATCAATCGAAAATAAGCATTATACTTATTTATCCATTACTTTTATTTTATTTTATAAGACGCTTTTATCTGTGCTCTTACTTCAGTGAATTTTAAAATGCCGCCAAATATGGTTACAGAAATATATTCTTTCTAACGATCATCAACAGGTCATCACCATTGGAAACGAACGATTCCGTTGTCCCGAGGCCCTCTTCCAGCCATCCTTCCTGGGTATGGAGGCCTGTGGTATTCACGAAACAACGTACAACTCAATCATGAAGTGTGACGTTGACATTCGTAAGGATCTCTACGCCAATACTGTACTCTCTGGTGGTACCACCATGTACCCTGGCATTGCCGACAGAATGCAGAAGGAAATCACTGCCCTAGCCCCATCCACCATGAAGATCAAGATAATTGCACCACCCGAGAGGAAATACTCCGTATGGATTGGTGGCTCCATTCTCGCGTCTCTCTCGACATTCCAGCAGATGTGGATCTCCAAGCAGGAGTACGACGAGTCTGGCCCCTCAATTGTCCACAGAAAGTGCTTCTAAGCTGTTTAACAAGATACTGCACCCGAAGATCCCCCTGCCCCCTCCCCTTACCCCTTTCGCAGTCATTCCGTTGGTCTTTTATTATTTTATTTTATTTTATTCTAGTTCTTTTTTTTGGGTCCCAATAAATGCACTTTGGGATCGCTCCATTGTCATCATTCATAAACCCCTTTTTACACGAATTTCTCCTATTTCTCCCCCCCCCCCCCCCCCCCCCCC